AAAAAAAATCAGATTCTAACAGAGACAAGACTTTCAGTAAGTTTTTCTGAGCTCCAGTCGGAAACTGACAACAGAATATCAAGAACAGCATTACAGTCATGACCCCAAACATAGGCAGAGCGGGTTGCCATGTTTTGTTAGTTAAAATGATTTAATGTTGCCTTTTAAAACAGTTCACTAGGTCTGCATGTGCTATCAGCCTGAGAGTTCACTCAACCACAAATACAAGATGTCTTATATAGGTGAAGCATTCTGAAAGGGAGGAAAGAGTAGTTCAAACAAGAAAGCAGTTAGTGGAATACACAGCATTATACACAAAGTATAAAGGAGCAGATACACATATGCCATTAGGCTTTTTTGTTTTTTAAAAAGTTTGGGAGAGAAAAAAAAAAGATGGCATAATAAAGAGGAAGGAATATGCATTTGTCAGTTAAGAAAAATGCAACCCAAAAAGTTATTCCTACACTTCCAGGTTCTACTCATCCTGGCTTGGCTTTAGATATTGACTCTCCTAATGTTCCTAACTCCACTAACATGCCTTATATGGCTATGGTGGTGTAAAACCTATTTAAATCAAATGCTAAAGATTTTTGTCCAGATCAAAAGAAAATTGCCATTTGGCTTAAATAGCTCTGGCCTTATTTTTAGATACACTACTCAACAGAAAAACAATAAATACATGATCAGAATTTGCTATTGTGGAAGTTCACAAATGTTTAAGCAGCTGAGGAGTATAAATTCAGTGTGCACACTTTTTCACCCTGTGAGAAGCATTAGAGAATAACGGGATGTTGTAAAATGTTATCAAATGTCAGTAAAAGAATATAGAAGGTTTTTGGATGTGGTGAGGAAAAACACACACACACACACACACACACACACACACTTGATGGCTAGGTACAGACATTTTAAAAACCCTAGGCAAAATTGATAAAAGTTATGTGGTTTTCTGTAAACAGAGTAGTTTAGATCCATAGCAAACAGAACACACATTTGCCCTTTGGTGGGGAGTGGAGGGACAAATAGACTAGTTTTAAAAGTGGTGAAACCCGTTCTGTATGCACTGAACTTCTGTTCTGGGTACAGGCCAGTTTCTGATCACTTATATGGGTAAAAGTGTAATGTCTGTACCTGGCCTAAAGTGCCATCTCTGCAATGTTAACATTTAAACACCCCAATTCACACTGGGAGAGATTTCAGAGTGGTGTTTTTTCAACATGCTAATGCCCTTAACACAGTTACATGAAGAAATCAGCCACTGCAGCAGCAACTGTTTGAAATGTACTTTACATGATCCCTGGGGTAAACAAAATAAACTAGCTCTGTACTAGGCTGTTGTGGGTAAGCCAAGGCTTCATTTGGTAAGCAGACAAAGAGATGCTACCCAAGGGAAGCCTTTCACTTTCAAACAAAGAATCATGATTAGATGCATTTTCTTGAAATTCAGGTCTCATGGCCAAATACAGATCCTAAGTTCATGATACATAAATTGGGCTATGCCTCAACAGAATTTCAGGAAGACTATTAAGCAAATTTGAGGAACAAAACTATTTGTTATCGTTTCTTCTGAAGGCAACTTGTATACAACCCTTTGAAAGTAGGTAGGTGAAGATCTTATTGGCTTCAAAAAAAACAGACCCTATGGATAAGAAACGCACGTCCATTCTTGACATTTTTGTGAATACACTCAACCATTTTATTAATACAAGGCAAACATCAGATAATTTTAAAAGAAACCCAAAGTGACAGCACTATTTCAGAAATATCTGAATCTTTTTAGATTAAAGAGACTTCCCTGTGTTTTACCAAGAAAGCATTTTGCCGTTGTAGTGGAAAGTTTTCTAAATTCAGGTTGATAAACAGAGCATATCTGGGCCCAGTTCTCCCATCAGTACAATGTAGCTTCACTGATGCCAATGTTGGCACTCTATTTACATGGATATGAAAGGAGAATTAAGCCCATCCATAGCTATGTGGAGACTTGATAATTGCTCTTATCCCTGACTCCCCAATAAAAATATCAGAAAACTGATTGATAAACTTATGGGGGTGGAGGGGAGACGGAAAAAAGTCTCTAGCTAGGAAGGGACATAGTAAAAATACTCTTTAGCCCTAGTGCTCTCCCCTCCCCAAATCTCCCAAGGCCACTGAAAACTGGTATTCTACACCAAACAATTATTGAGCGGAGCTGAAATCAGATCAGTTTCAAGTCCCTTCATCATGCTTGTTATCATAGTTCTGATTTGCTTTCAGAAGGGTCAGTGGGCTTAAGCAGTTCAAGAGAATGAAAAATAAACATTTAGTTCTAGATGTACAAGTAAGGCACAATATAAAGCCACATCATAATCTGTCATGAAGGAATAAGGAAGGACAAGAATCATACATGGTACAGTAGAAGAAGCAGTCCTTATAGAATAAGAAAAACAAAGAACAAAGTGTGGCACCTAAGTTCAGACTGACAAGATCTTAACAAGAGCAACACGACAGCATGCTTTAATATGGAAATAAGGTCTAGAGAATCCAGTGTATCAGAAAAAGGAAGAGCTGTTGTATTTATTAAATCTAAAACTGAATAATTGTTTTTGGATACAGGATTAAAGTGAATATTCACAATGCCTACACTCAAAATTAAAAAATAAAATAAAAATCCAGGACTTCATTAAGATCCACATACCATGTATGAACACTGAAAACCTTTAGAGAGTTCTCCTCTAAAGATCATCCAGAAATGCATGCCACAATTTCAAACAAGGAAAAAAGAACCCAAACAGAACATGTACATTTTCTTTACCCTTATAAGATTTGTTTGTGATAAGTATACACTAAATGAATATATTTTAATGACACTAGAGGAAGCAGATTGTTACTGGCATTAAAGTACAACCATTTCTAGACTGTTTAAATGCCACAGAGTCCCCTGGTTAAAATGTAAAGCTGCACAGCTTGCCTATGTCATCTTTACAATAAAGTTAAACCAACACAGGTCTTAACTTTACTCTACATTTTACTGCCAGGTTTTATTTAGATCAAGTATCGCTGCAGCATTCTGACCAGCCCAGAGTTAGCAGCAAGTGGCAGGAATCATATAAAATGCTGTTTCTTTTTTTAAAAAAATCTTCTTAAACAAAGTGCTTTTCTAAGAGATACATATATAAATAGGTACAAAATAAAGTGTCAGCATTAAAAAGCTCAACTATTTAAAAGCTTTAACTTAAAATAATACATAGAAAACACTGAAATGCAAAAGGTATGGAATCCACTAAAGAGATTCAAAGTCTTTTTTGAAATGCTAGACCAAAATCATATTCTGGTTTTCAGACAAAAACAAACAAACAAAAAACAGTATAAAACAATGGTTGCTCAGCATACCCGAGCAGTGGGAAGGGGCATCTCTTTTATACCTTGTCAGTTTAAAATCTGTCTCACAATCTTACTTAACTGCAAACACTGGTGTCATCATAATCAAATATTACCATGCCTACACAGTTCTGATAGAGGATTAGCACCTTCCTGGTCTCAGTGTTTTAAAGGCTATTCTCCAGAAAGGACTAAAACCAGCATTACTATAAACATGGCCACAGAAGTTCCAAAGAACAAAACATTCTTAGGTCGAGTTTTTGTTGGCCACGTGCATCCCTGGTGTAACTGGAATACCAGGAGGGATGCATATGAGCCACCAGGCTCTGCTCTGAAGCAAACAGACCTGCACTTCTTCCCAAGGCTAACAAAAAAACAAACAGACCTCACTCAAATCTTGCAAATCCTTTAAGAGGATTTTCAAAGCTTTGATTAACTAGCTGTGGGGCCTTTTTCAATCATGAATGAAAAAAACTTTATGGTACAGCCCAGTAGTGGTATTTTGGCTTTTTCCCCCCTTTTTGAGTCTTCCAGAGTATCAGGATACACAGTGCGTTGTGTGCACACTACACCAATGTGGCAGGATTGCCATCTTCATCTCCCACTCCTACCTTGCACTATTTGAGATTTATAAAACTTCACGCAATAAAGAGCTTAGATTTAAAAAAACCCAAAGAAAAAACAAACAACCCCCCCCCCGGCAAAAAACCCAACCCTACACGTTTATGTATACGTAAATGAATCACAGTACAAAGAAACTTAGACAAATTGTAAATGAAGTGGAGCAAACCCCCAAAGGGAGTGGGCAGGAAACCTTCATGGACTTTTGCATTTTCCCCCAGCAGCTACATATATCATTTTAAAATATTTGGTATTTCTATTTTCAGTAAACAGTGTTTTGTCATCTTTAAATAAAAAGAAAGAAGAGGGGAGGAAAGGGGTCCTTGAAACCAGAGAATGATCTTGCCTTGACATAAATGACTTCCTCGTCAAGGGATAAAGCTTTTAAATTTGTACTTTAACACTGACTAACAAAGCCGACTTATGATCAGAAGAGCAAATAAGAACTGTGAGTTAATATTCTCCAATCATAGAAACTACTGAATTAACAAGAATAAAAGTCACATAAGTTTAAAGAAGCTAGTTTTGAAATACCTGTACAAAAATATAAAAGTCTATAAATTTTTTTTTTGTTTTTCTTTCTAAGCCTGTGTTGATCCTTGGAAACACCACGTGCATAATAATACATCAACTGGAAAAGTGGCAACTAAGGAATTAGATATTTGTAGCTCTTTTTTCCTCTTTACATATATACACATTACAATAAAAATAATTTTATTTTGGTTGTTTGGTGGAAGTATACTACAACAAGCTAAATATATTTTTTTTAATTCTCAAAATTGAAAACTATTTTACTAATAGCTTACTAAAATCCAAATATATTAAAATTTCCTACAGTAAGTGCAGAGAAAACAAAAAGATTTAAAGACTCCAAGATGGCCACCAACTTATCTACTAGCAAACTACAGGAACAGCAAAATAATATTATGTATGAATGCTCCTTCTGTAGATAATTGGACCCAAACAAAAAAAATTCACAGTTCAGTAAGATCCCTAACCCTGACCTTTAGGTTTTTTTTTCTTTTTTTCTTGTTTTTTTTTTTTCTTTTTTTTCTTTTTTACATTCAGTACAGTATCATGTAAGCTGTGCAAAACTTTACTTAGACTGGCAGTTTGCCATATCAGTTGCATTTGTCTTTGGTACAAAAATAAACAATCGCATTAAATGTGCAAGTATTTGTTTTCTTCCGGCCAAGTACCGAAATTGAGTTTTCTAGAGCCATCTTTTATACAATACATAGACTCTGTGGCATATATCTACATTTTCAACATATTCCTATATACATTCAAAAATTTGTAAGAGCTGGAACAAATACATTAAAATCCATAATCTTACCATCTCTATACATCTTGTTTCCCCCCTCAGGGTTTTCATCGTACAAAACAAAAAAATTCTTTACCAGCTTATACTTATAGCTCTCCCCCAAAAATACAAGGCACAAAGAATATACTTTTTTCTCTTACTTGCACAGACATTTAAATACCATATTAAGCTCATAAAATTAAAGTCTTATATGGCACACTAGCTCTAATGCCAGGTGTGCTATGTACAAGTTAATGGTTGCAAAGAAAGCTTACTCATTTTATTCTTTTTAGAACCAAAAAAGCAATAATTCTAGAAAAATACCAAACTGATAATTTGCAAAAAAATGCTTCTTCTTTATTTTACTTGGAGCATAAACCTGCCACAATGTTTGGTATTTGCTAAGGTTTTTCACTACCAAAAATATATTTTTGCTTCTAAAACCAAATTTATACGACCTGGTCCTAGATGACTTAATTTTAAAGACTCCTAATCTCTGCATTTATGTGGGAAGCAGCTTTAAAACTATATGGTTTATGCTCCAAAAATGCTATTAAGCATTTTATACCATGCATTCACTTATCTTACTACATTGTTATTAAAAACAATGGAACCTAATTGTAAGTGTTTACATAATGCTACAAACGGACATGCAGACCAGAATGCAATTTACAATGGAGTACTTGACAACACAGGTAGAGCTCTGACCAATGAGAACAGGTGAAGTGATGTCCGTTACACTTTTGACGTTGGTATTCGCAGCCCTACAAGGCCACCAGTGGGGTCTCCTTCTGCAGTTCTCTCTAGAACTTGGTTCACAAACTCTGATGTTTGTCCCGCTACAGGTAGTCCTATGAAGGAAAGGAAGGGGATGTGCTTTAAGATCGCTGTTATTTGCACACATGTGCAAGTTTACTATTAAAAAAACCTATCACAATGCCTAGAGCTGGCCAGTAAGCAAGTAGAAGAACTAAAGTTTGTGAAAGCAAGGTAACACTCCTTTAAAGATGAGGAGAAAGACTCTGGAGTCCAAAATAATGCTATTACATGTAAGTGGTGAAATATGTAGCTGTTTAACTTTACTCCTTACCAAGAGTATCTTTAACGAGTACATCAAGCTTCTGTTCCATGTTGGTTCCTCTGTCATCTTTAGGGATCTGCACTCGATTAACAATTTCTTGCTTTATAGAATTGATCACAAACAACAAATTATCTGAAGAGAGGGGGGAAAAAAAGAGGTCACATTTGATTACATGTCTCTGGGTCAGAAGCTGCACCTTCCTGTGTTCATTCATGTACTGTATCTACATCACAGAGCCCTCAGACGGTGCAGGGCCTCTGATGCCACCATAACAACTCATTTCAAGTATAGCTACATCACATAATCCACATCATCTGTATGCAAGTTTGCCACAACCATCATTTTCTGCAGGTGATGGGAAGATGCAAGATTGACAACAGCTTGTATTAAAGGAAAAAGTTGAGACAAATTTATACTTACCATATTCTGTGTTGAGACCCCACAATTTGACTTTGTTGGCTTCATACTGGGCTTTCTTCTTTAGTCTGCAAGCCCTATAATAGCAAAAAGTTAGTACAATCTCTTAACTGGGGCTACACTAACTTGCAAAAGTTCTCCCAATGCAACATTTTTTGTTCACACCTTAATCCTCACTGAACCCAAACTACTACTATTAAGTACTACTCATATACTAAACATGCTAAATGCCATCAGTTACTAAAGCATCTCACTTTCCTGTTTGTGAATTTTAATTCTGGTAGTCCTGGATGATTCCAGCTTGACTTACTTTCCAATGGAAACTGGCATGATCTAGTTTGAATCCTCCTCCCCACCACGCCTATGTAAAATCATATGCCCTAGCTGCCTTTTTGCCAAGCCAATACAATTCTTATAATGACTGCAAGCGAGGGAAAGAGCCTCACTCTAAATAGGAAAAATTAGGAAAGCTTCAGCTCCGTAGCACATCTGGAATACTTCTAATTAATTCATTCAGGCAAAGGGCATCTAGTTTTTACCTGGAAGCTAGTTTGTTCTTTTCTTTTCTTGACCTTGGTCTAGCAGTTAAGGGTAGTTCACTGACTGGTGTCAGGTCACTGATCACCTTATTCAGTTTCCTTAACTCATTGCCGATCTGGAGAAGCTTTTTAGGGTTGGGAGTTAAGTCTTCCACATCAGTCCTCCGTGACTTCTTCACTGCATATTTTCCTATTTTGAATACACAGAAGACTTTTTTGTAGCGTTCAAATATGAAGATGTCCATATAAGTTATATTATTAATCCTTGCCCATTCGTCACCAAAGACCCAAAGTTCAACTTTTGGCAGGTCCTCCAAGTTTTTGCAATGCAAAAAGGACAGCTGAATAACCAGGCATAAGCATCAGTATGTTGAGAATCAGGATAGCAGCACATACAACACGTCAGGACTAAAATGGATCCACAGTTATGGCTAGTATGAAGGTGCTAGTGAAGCTAACCGTTCAGTTCCAAAGCACCTTCCCAATAGTCCATGTCCTCCGTCTCACTGCCATGATCAATTCATGCCAAGAAGTAGAACAATCCATTGACTCCATCTGTTCCCCCCCTCCCCCACGCAGACAAAAGAGGAGGTAAAGGGCTAGAACAACCATGACTTTAAATAAAAGTGACCTTAAGCTAAACGTGGCCAGTTCAGAGGCCAGCCAACTCCTTCTGGACATTTTTGAGGACATTTCTGCATCTATGCTGTTCCATTTATAACACAACTTTTCTTGCCCAGTTGAGCTTTACCAGGAGCATGTACATATAAAGGCAGGATCTTCATTCCTTAAGACTCTCTCTTATTGTTGCACTTTCAGGCAAGTAACCCATTTATTACTAAAGTGACAAAACCCTCTATAGGTATATTCTTTGGGGGGATTTAATATTTATGATTACTTGTTTGAAGTATCAGGTAGACTTTAAACAAACAAACCCCACAGGTTCTGCAGCTTCTGGATGATGCCAACAGAGCTCACTACCTTACAAGCTAAAAGGGCAGCTTGATATACAAAGTCCTTGAACTATGCTGCCCCCATGTGGCCACTGTTGTGCAGCACATCCTTACCACTTGCCTCCATTCCACTCGTGCCAGATCCTGGATAGGAGGCAATGGAGCCAGGTAAGCACACATCTCAGGCTGAAAGCTGACCTGGTACATACTCAGCAGTTAGCACTGCCTCCACGGGTGGGTGTTAAGATTTAGCCAGTAGGTGGCTACACTGCCTTGTTTCTAAGATTTAGTGCATGTTGAACAGAAGCAAATGGACACAGGAAGCATTGTGGCTATGTTCCTACATAGACATAATGCAGGCGTGCCCTGTGTCACTCCTCTGAATACATCTGAAACTTGTATGATAAGTAGAAAGCATGAATTCCAAACCAGGACACGGGTACTAATTACATTTGCTAGTGATACAGATTTATGGCAGTTTGCCATACCAGTTGCATTTGTCTTTGGTACAAAAATAAACAACTGCATTAAATGTGCAAGTATTTGCTTTAGACAATGATGCTTTACAAGTTCTCACATTTAAAAAGGCAAAAAAAAATTGCATTTTATTTAGGGAAGAATAGTAAGTAACAGATCCAATGTTTCGTCTAAAACCCAGATGCACACACCAAAAGATCTAGCCTAAAAGGACAAAAGTTCAAGGGAATGTTAGAATTAGGCAAGTTGCTTCCTTAAAAAACTGCTAGCAGAAGGTAGCGCAAAACAAAGAATACTCACACCCAGAACTCCATTCCCAAAGTCATCTGTCCTCACCAGCATCAGTTATTTTGGAAGTACTACAAAGTTGGCATGTCCACAGCTCCCCCCCCCAAAAAAAAGCAAAACAAAACAAAACCCCACTTTGCCGTCTGTCCTATTGTGGCATCTCAAGTAAAGGGTCATTTGCATGTTAGCCCTGCATGTAGTTTACTCTACTACTTCAAACAGCACTAGATCTGCTTCTTAGCATCCAGAGGCAAAAATCAGATTCATGACTAAGTTGTGACATTAACAGTATTGCATTGAGACCATTCACCGTCTCCGCAGAGAGAATTTAGGAGTTACAATTTTCAATGAATCCACTTTTCTCTTAAGGGAAACCATACTGAGGTCACTACTGTATATTCACAAACCCTTTCTTGGCCACATTACAGAAAGCAATTAGCCAAGTAACAGGAGTTATACTGTTTTAATGGATTTCTCCTCAGGCACCAAAACAAGATCTCTCATTCATTTCACATAAGGGAGTTAGGGGGCTCGGAGGTGTCAGCATGAAAAGACTGGCTACTGGGAAGGTACTCTTACCATGATGGAGTCCATTTTTCTGATACATATTACTTGGTAATGTATCTCGATTCCATTCAGATGGCCTCAGCATTCTTTCTTGTTGAGATGTAGTCAGTTGTTCACTATATTCCCAAAAATATCTTCTTTTGCCTCTTTTCCGGCAAGATACTGCAGTCATTTCTTTCAAGTCTTCCACAGAATCATTTTCATATCCTAGAGATTAAGTTGCATTCATCATTTGTTTAGAAGCTCAGCAAAGATGGAAACAATTTATAGGTACCAGAGCAAACATTCTAGAAATGAAAGTGTGATAAAACTTAAAGCTACACAACTAATTGGTTCCATACTACTGGGGCCACATCTTTGGCTTTCTACAGTTGGGATCTGTCCTAACTCCAGTGTCAAGCCAACATTACACCAGTAATAGTTGGAACTGGGCAGAATATCTACTACATCAAGAGGCCTCTTTTCTTCTAGCCCTACTTTCCTTCCCCACCCATCATCTCTTCAACCCTTAGAGAACCACCTTTTGCTTGCCTCATTCTTTTCCCACCAATTTTCAGAACACTTTCCAGGTCTCCCTTATTTCTTAGATTAACATCCTATCCCACGGTAAAAGTTTAAAACAAAAAGCATACTAAGAACTAACAAGATCCTCACTATCAAATCAATCCAGAGCAATAATTTTGCATTATGTACATACTCTTTAAAAGCCTG